GGCAGACCGGAGCCGCCCCTTGACACAGGGAACACAGGAAGGACCAGGCCCTAGAGGAAGGGGAGGGAGGGACCGGGGGAGACCAGAGACAAGGACACGGGAAGCCATGCTTCGGAGACGAGGCAGGGAGGGGTGACCAAGACGGTGGTGCCAGAGGAGAGTCTCGTGAGACAGGAGGCGACACGAGCAGTGGGCAGACTCAGGACCAGACCTGGACGCTGCAGCAAACACCTGACCCGACGCAGCTACCTGGCTAGACGCAGGGACAGGAGGAGACGCAGTGGTCAGGGTGTAGAGGCTCGACCCCGGCCGACGCGTAAACGTGGCCAGGTGCCGGCCTGTGCGAGCGTCCGAGCAGTGGGTCACCCGCTGACTCGCAGGAGTAAACTGGTGAACCCCCGTATCCTGCAGGTCAGCACCACTCACCAAGTTCGTAGAGAATGAGGGGAGGTAAAGACCAGACAAGGTGCCAGAGGGGGCAGCCGGACACGGGAGGACAGTGGAGAAGTGAGAGAGGACAGGACCCCCAGAGGGGTCTGCCAGGGAGACTGCAACCGGCCGACCAAGCGGCGTGAGTGTGGTGCGGTCTCGAAAGAAGGAGCGAGAAGCCCCTGAGTCAAGTGTGAAGGTGAGGGAGGCCGAAGCCGACGTGGTACCTGAGAGCGCAGACTCACCAGCACATGAGGGCGCAGACGCACTGGCACCTAGAGCAGCAGCCTCACCAGCACCTAGAGCAGCAGTACCAATGCCCGGGTCGGGCGAGAAACACCGGTAACAGTCACCCTCATCACTAATAGTCACAGCATACATGGCAGCAAGGATAGCATCAAAGTCAAGATCATAGATAGCTACGCTTGCCCTAGAAAGCTCTCCCCAGCGGGGGATCTCACTGCCAACTCCTCCACCACCGCCTCCTCCACCTCCGCCACCACCGTCGCCTCCGCTAGCACCGCCGCCGCCTCCGCCTCCACTGCTGCCACCAACACCTCCACCCCCGCCACCACTCCCACCGCCACCCCCACTCCCTCCGCCGCCTCCACCGCCACCTCCACCGCCCCCGCTAGCTCCACCCGCGCCCTTGCCCCCCTTGCCCTTGCCAGAGCGGCGTATCCCGCTAGGGGCAGACGCCGCACCGACCGACTCAAGACCAACGAGGTCGGCCGCAGCGGCAGAGGCGACAGAGGGCAAAAGGGGGGAAGGAGAACACCCCTCAAAGATGGGGGTGCGAGGGTCACCACGAGAGGCTCCTACAGCGACTATGCTCTTCTCCGCTGCTAGGGGGGCCTTCTCTAAGAGGTCAATAGTGAGAGTGGTGGGACAGACTGAGAGGAAGTGGTCCCTGACTAAGCGAAGAGAGTCAGGGAGCCGGGTGACTATATAATAGAGAGTGATGTACATGGGGGGGGGGTTCTTGGCGCAGAACTCAGCAGGAAGCGCGGCGCGGTAGCGAGTGTCACTAGTGCGGAAATGCGTAATGAGGTCAGCGACTGTGGGAAAGGCAGCAAGGTCAGGGAAGAGGTACGGTAGCATGAGGCGGCTCAGTGCAGCAGTGGCAGGGGAAGAGTAGCGCGCAACTACAGCGTCGTACAAGGTCTGAGCACTCTTGTACTGACTAAAGTGCGCGCGCTCAGTGGTAGGCAGGTGGCGACGCACAGCAAGACGTGCAGCAGCATCGCGCGTGGCCCACTGGGAGCGAACAGTGGGGTCAGCATCAGCAGCAGGGGCAGGAGAGGCGCCAGAGGTGAGGTCAAAGAGAGAGAGACCGTCTGCCCTATCGCACTGTAAGAACAGCTGCAGGTCGTCGACCCAGACCTCAAAGTCAATGGCTCGACCCTCAGCGTCAAACGCGAGGACACTAGGGGTAGCCATGACAACAGTGGACTAGCAGTACCAACTGTAGGACAGGGGCAGTGCAGTGACAGAAGCGCTGCTCTCACTAGACAGGGCGGTTCGGGCAGCTCAGTAGCACAGCAACACGGCAACACGGCTGCTCGGACGGCTCAGCAGCAACTACGGCTCCGCGGCACCAGCGGCTCGGCTCCACAGGCGGCTCGGGCGGCTCGGGCGGGTCGGGCGGGTCGGGCGGCTCGGCTCCTCAGCGGCTCAGGCGGCTCGGGCGGCTCGGGCAGGTCGGGCGGCTCGGGTTGCTCGGGCGGCTCGGCTCCTCAGCGGCTCAGGCGGCTCGGGCGGCTCGGGCGGCTCGGGCGGCTCGGGCGGCGCGGGCGGTGTAGGGCGGTAGGGCCGCTGGTAGGGCGGCGGGGCCGCAAGGTAGGTGGCGGGGCCGCAGTGGGAGGGGCGGCGGGGCCGGAGTGAAGGGCGGCGGGGCCGCCGTGAAGGGCGGCGGGGCCGCTGAGAAGGGCGGCGGGGCCGCACTGAGAGAGGCGGCGGGGCCGCAGAGAAGGGCGGCGGGGCCGCTGAGAAGGGCGGCGGGGCCGCAGCGAGAGAGGCGGCGGGGCCGCAGCGAAGGGCGGCGGGGCCGCTGAGACGGGCGGCGGGGCCTCAGTGTGAGGCGGCGGGGCCGCATTGTGAGGCGGCGGGGCCGCAGCGAAGGGCGGCGGGGCCGCAGCGAAGGGCGGCGGGGCCGCTGAGAAGGGCGGCGGGGCCGCAGCGAGAGAGGCGGCGGGGCCGCAGCAAAGGGCGGCGGGGCCGCTGAGACGGGCGGCGGGGCCGCAGTGAAGGGCGGCGGGGCCGCAGTGAAGGGCTGCGGGGCCGCAGCGAAGGGCGGCGGAGCCGCAGCGAAGGGCGGCGGGGCCGCAGCGAAGGGCGGCGGGGCCGACTCGACGGGCTGCGGGGCCGCTAGAGGGCTAGGGCGGCTAGGGCGGCTCGACGAAGTGAGAGCCCGGAGCGCGACTCGGGCTGAGCGCGCTTAGGGCAGGGAAAAAAAACTCGATGTGGTGGGCCCTAGGCACAGTTCCCACGGGGGAACCTGCTCGATACCATGAGGAAATTAGAACGAGAATGAGATGACTATGGAATGAAAGTGATACAAATATGCAACCCTAGAAATGTGTACCCCATATGGGCTACCCCACTAAAGCCTAGACAACATTATAATTTGACATTTTCCTCCATTTGGCGATTTACAGGAAGGTTTGCGACAGAAATAGTTGAAATCTAGGCGCTGGTCGACTTACTGCGAATCGAATCGACTGTAGAAATGTTGAGCGCTATTTCGGCTAGTCGCGTGATTCTCCCTTAGCCGAAATTCGCGTCAGGTCTCGGCTGTTGAGCTGAAATTCGATCCGACGTCCCAAATTCCAACGTTTTTTGGCGAAATTCTGAGGGTCGTTGATGTTCGCCACTGAACCTGAGGAGGATTCGAAAACCAGTTCGAGGGGGACGTTAAAGAATAGCGCAGAACTGGTTTACGTACCCGAAATCGGCACTTCCCGTCGTCGCCCCCGCGGTTTCAAAGGCTAGGTTTTAGCGGTCGAAAAACTCGCATGTAAACAGGCTCTGATACCAAGTGTGAGGATCTAGGATCGAGCTCATAAAAGATGATTTGAATTGAATGAATTACCTGGGTACAACACGAGGCTATTTATAGGCACGGCACAAGGCCCCGTAACCACCTGGTACGCGAAGGTTCCGAGGGTCGCGAAGCGCCCCGAACAGACCCTTCCCGAATTCGGTAGAAGGCATTTTGGTGGCTACCGAATAGCCTAGAATTCGGTGTACGTAACCTAGCTCAGTGCTATAACTATAATAAAATATAGTACAGCACCTAGCCTAGGAAATCAAGCGATTCATGCATGCATAATATAAACCTAAGCTAGAAATAGCATAATAAAGTAAAGACAAGCAAGCATAGCTGGCATAAGCCGTCGTACTCTCACAAGAGTGGTGGTGAGGGGCCAGTAAAGTACAAGGATTGAACAAATCGGATGTTTTGCAGGTGATTAGGACAGCTGTGGTTGGGTAGCGATATTCAGTCTTCCACCGACCTAAACCCATCAAGTTACACTGCGATATGGTGAGCTGCGTTTGTACCCTTGGACACAATCAATCAGCAGTGCCGGTGTAAAAGCTCGTAAGAAACTGGCTCGGTGTCAGCCTCGGGTGCTGAACCAAGTGACCAGCCTCGTGGCGAATAGTTGCCGTGCGCCAAGGACGATTGCACGCCACAGCGCGGCTGTGTGGGAAGGGCGGTCTCGTGCGAAGGGCGGCTGTGCGGGAAGTGTGGTCTCGTGCGAAGGAAGCCTGTGCGAGAAAGGCGACTGCTTGCGACAGCTGCTTGCGTGCGGGAAGGACGTCTGCTCGCAAAAGGCGCCTTTGCGAGAAGGGCGCGTGTGCCCGAATGTCGCACAAGGGTAATGTTCGTTACTAGAGCGCGCGCAAAACGGGACGGTGTCAACACGTGCGTTCACCTAAAAACCTATGTTAGTTCAGTTACTAGTTGTGCCTTATCAAACTGTGCACAGTTTGCTTCTTCTGCTCCTTTCTGGTAAGTCGAATTGTCCTTGCGGGCCCTGTATTGGTGCTGCCAAGTCCCTGCATTGCCATCCTCGCGATATTACGATTGTCACTTGTTGGTTTCGCGAACACTTGGTCTCCCAACCCTCCCAAACCTCCAAGTCAATGGTTTCCGAACCTGCAAATGTTGCGTTGACTTGCGAAGAGTAATTCAGGTCTTCGGCTTTAAGCCGAAGACCTGAATTACTCAACGGAATTCAACGCTAAAAACTAGGTTCGGGAGGCAGGCAGGGAGAGGTCCGGTTGGGTTGCGAGAGACTTTCACTCGTGAAACCAATTTGCGACAAAAGTTTCTCGCTTCCCATGATGGTTGGTGTCCTTCCCACAACCAGAAAAGCGCGAGCATATCAAACTGTGCACAGTTTGAGATAGGACGCAGAGTATTAGGCATAGACCATACCTGGAGACAGGGTAGGGCGTCGGCGTTCACTCAAAAGGGATCAGAGGCGCCATACGATTTGGGTGGCGCGGATTTCAATGATGACGCGGAGAGCTAGTTCTCGCTAGGTGAATATTATTGTGTCGAAATGCAGGTTATTGTGCAGCTACTCCGTAGCGTAAACTCGTGGCGAAAATCGAATTGCAACCGTTCGCCCAAATGTGACCCTCCCCTCGCCCTCGCTTTCCTTTCCCACGCTTCCGCTCTCTTTTGCCCGCGTCGTCGCCATCGCTTCCGCAGCTCGTCGCGTGCCTGTCGCCTTCGCTTCGCCCGTCGCCTTCACTTCCCCCCCGTCGCCTTCACTCCCCCCCCTCCCCCCCCTCTTCCGTTGCCTTCATGTCCCCCTCCCGTCGCCTTCAATTCCCCCTCTCGTCGCCTTCACTTCCCCCTCCCGTCGCCTTCATTTCCTTCATTTCCCCCTCCCGTCGCCTTCATTTCCCCCTCCCGTCACCTTCACTTCCCTCTCTCGTCGCCTTCACTTCCCCTCCCGTCGCCTTCATTTCCCCCTCCCGTCGCCTTCATTTCCCCCTCCCGTCGCCTTCACTTCCCCCTCCCGTCGCCTTCACTTCTCCCCCCCAATGCCTTCGATTCCCCCTCCCGTCGCCTTCCACGCCTGCCGCACTCGCTTCCCCCCCGTCACACTCGCTTCCCCACCCGTCACCTTCACTTCCCCTCCCATTGCCTTTCACACTCTCCTACTCACTCCCCTGCTCACTCTCTTCCCCGCTGCTCACTCGCTTCCCCCCTCCTCAATCTCTTTCCCCCTGCTCAATCTCTTCCCCCCTGCTCACTCGCTTCCCCCCTCCTCAATCTCTTTCCCCCTGCTCACTCTCTTCCCCCCTGCTCACTCGCTTCCCCCCTCCTCATTCTCTTTCCCTCTGCTCACTCCCCTTATTCTAACCCCACTTTCCCCATTTCTCACCCATTTTCCCCCTTCACGCTCTCCTACCCCCTCTGCTCGCCCCTGTTTTCCCTACTCACTCCTATACTCACTCTCTCCCCCCCTGCTCACTCTCTTCCCCCCCTGCTCACTCTCTTTCCCCTTGCTCACTCTCTTTCCCCCTTGACGCTCTCTTTCCCTCCCTTCCGCCTGTTGCCCCCCTTCGTCACGCGCTCGTCCCCTCGCAATCCCTGTCTCTCTCTCCCCCCGTCGCCCTCGTTTTCCCCGTCGCCCTCCCTTCCACTCCTCGTTGCCCTCGCCATCCCTCCCTTCTCCCTTCCCATCTCGCACACTTGTCACGCCCCCTTTCCAACCCGCACATACACCCTTCCCTTCTTCCCTGTTTCCTCGTATCCCCTGTGCTGCTTCCCCCCATCCTCCAACTTGCTCCCCCCATCCCCTTCCCTGCTTCCCCCCGTCCCCTCCCTTGCCTCTGCCCATCCCCTTCCCTGCTTCCCCCCAACCCCTTCCCTGCTCCCCCCCATCCCCTTCCCTGCTTTCCCCCTTCCCCTTCCCTGCTTCCCCCCGTCCCCTTCCCTCCTTCCCCCATCCCCCTCCCAGCATCCCCCCATCCGCTTCCCTGCTCCCCCCCATCCCCTTCCCTGCTCCCCCCCATCCCCTTCTCTGCTTCCCCCCATCTCCTTCCCTGCTTCCCCCTATCGCCTTCCCTGCTCACCCTTTCTCCCTCTATTTCACCCTTGCTCCTTCCCCTTCTTCTCTGCTCACTCTCTTCCCCCTTGCTCACTCTCTTTACTTCTGCTCACTCTGTTCCCCCCTGCTTCCTCTCTTCCCCTCTGTTCAATCTGTCCCCCGCTGCTTCTTCTCTTCCCCTCTGCTCATTCCGTTTACTGTCTTTCCCCCTTCACTCACCCCCATACCCCCCAATGCAGTTACAGGTGCCCAGCACCAGATGTGGCTTTACCACGGCCTGGTTTGTTGCTTGCAGTGTAGCAGACAAAACCGGGAAGCAACATTACACATACACCCCCTAGCTTTGTTCCCTTCTCGAGTCTGGTGACTCCCCTTACTTTACAGATACGGTAATATATTTATTGTTGAACTCCTTTGTATTGGTCATGTGTATGACTGCTCTGAGGCTCATAATCCTGTATTATAAAAAAATATCCAATACATGGCATGGCTATTCATCGTGTTACTATCAGACAGCCAGCACATGCACAACCAGATGCAGTGCTGACCTGTCCAAACACAAACCAAGAAGTCAGATTTGACGTGGCTGAAGTATAAGGGAGGCAAGCATGCAAAAGAATGACAACTGGCAAATGAGGAAGGGAGGAACGGAGGAAGGGACAAAGTGAGGAATGCAGGAATGAAGGAAGGGAGGAAGTGATGATGGGAGGAAGGGAGGTAGGGAGGACGCTTGGGGGAGAAGCAGAAGGGAGGGAGGAAGAGAGGCTGGAGAGGAGGGTGGGGAGGAAAGAGGGTGGCAGGGAGGTAACGAGGATGGAGGATGGGAGGAACAGATGGAGGTGAGGTACGGCAGATGGGAGACATGGAGGAACGGGGTGGGGAGAGGAGGGAATGAGAAAACGATGGGTTTGGTAGAGGAGGGATCGCGAGAGGAGGGATAGGGGGAGGAGTTGGGGATAGGATGGACGGGGAAGAGGGGATGGGTATAGAAAGGGATGGATAGCGGAGGTGGTGAAGAACGAACCTTTTGGCGAGGCGGAAGATGGGAAGAAGCACGGAGGAGAGGGGACGGGGTGGAGGTGACGGGGAGGTCGCGGGATGGGGTATGACCGTATGGTGGAATTGTGAAAGTTGGCAGAAGGAATGATGGGATCGGGAAAGGAGGGATGGGGAAACGAGGAAAAGGGGATGAGAAGTAGGATGGCATGGCGGAATGGGGTGGGGCAGAAAGGGGTGGGGCGGAATGGGGTGGGGCAGAAAGGGGTGGGGTGGAATAGAGTGGGGCAGAAAGGGGTGGGGCGGAATGGGGTGGGGCGGAATGGGGTGAGGCGGATTGGGGAGATGAGGGATGGGGAGATGAGGGATGAGGAGATGAGGGATGGGGAGGTGTGTGATGGGGAGGAGAGGGCTGGGGAGGAGAGGGATGGGGAGGTGAGGGATGAGGAGATGAGGGATGGGGAGATGAGGGAAGGGGAGATGAGGAATGGGGAGATGAGGGAAGGGGAAATGAACGTGTATGCGACTGAAGGGTGCTGCTGGCCACGCGGCACCCTCCCACACCCCACGCGATGGGACGGGATGAGAGGGTAGGCGGCATGGGTAGAGAAGCGATGGTGAAGAGGGGGAACGTGATGGGCAGGGGAGTGATGACGACGTGGAGAGAGGAGGAGAGAAGGGAGGTCGGCGGGAAGGCTAAGCGAGGACGATGGGAGGGCAAGCGTAGTGGCGGTGGGCGACGCTGGCGTGGGTGACGGTGGGGAGAAGCGTGGGCGACGGTGGGGGGAAGCGTGGGCGACGGTGGGGGGAAGCGTGGGCGACGGTGGGGGGAAGCGTGGGCGACGGTGGGGGGAAGCGTGGGCAACGGTGGGAGGAAGCGTGGCGACGGTGGGGGGAAGCGTGGGCGACGGTGGGGGGAAGCGTGGGCGACGGTGGGGGGAAGCATGGGCGACGGTGGGGGGAAGCGTGGGCGACGGTGGGGAAAGCGTGGGTGACGGTGCTCCGAAGCGTGGGCAACGGCGGGAGGAATCGTGGGCGATGAGAGGGGAAACGTGAGGGAAGGTGGGGAAAGGCGTGAGCGACGGTGTGGGGGAAGGCAGGAGGAAGCGTGAGCGGCGGTAAGGGGAAGCGTGAGCGACGGTGGGGGAAAGCTTGGGCGACGGTGGGAAGAGTGGGCGTGTGCGTGGGGAGGTGTGTGAGAGACGGTGGGGAGAAGCGTGGGGGACGCGGAAGGCGATAGGTCCAAATGCGATGTTTGGGAAAGGGCTAGGAATAAAGGTGAAAATGCTCATGGCCTATGCTTTAGTGGCGTTTTATTCTATCTCTTCGCATGCTCCGCGTACTATGGAAATCACACGACCTGAATTACCGAAGAAGGCAAACTGTGCACATTTTGAGCCCTTGTTCCTTCAGGAGGGTGTGGTTGGGACTCTCGCCAACCAAACCCGTTCTGCTCTACGACTCCGTGTTTCTTCGCGCAATGTTTTCTGGTAACCAGCCTGGCTCGGGAGGTCAACTGTGGGTTCGGTAGACCAACTGCGCACAGTTTGCCTACCTTTTTTTTGTAATTCAGGTCTTGGGCTTTAATAACACTCTGAGAATTTTGGCGGGTCATCATTTACCCACCAACCTAACTCCAGCTAGGGCGGCCCGTGCGATAACATACTGATAACTAATGCGCGCTTCGTTTCTTCACGATAACACCGCCATCCGTGTGATTGGAGCTCCCTCGCAGGAGCCTGCCTTTGTGCCGACGAAGTGACGCGACGGGCCGGGAGCACAGATTTACAAGGCGTCGCGATGTCTGGAAATGAACAGCGGAGTGCCGGCTGGAAGGACGTTTACGTCGAAGGGGGATCGACGAACGGCCCGCTTACTAAGGCCGACCGAGAGGTGCTCGGCAACAAGAGATCTTTCACCGTTAACTGCTTCCAGCACGCCCTCATGTGAGGCTCTGAGACGACTCTTAGCACTACTGTTATCACCCCAAGTGCTTCCAGCATGCCCTCTTGTGAGGCTCTGAGACGTCTCTAAAGACTACTGTTATCACCCCAAGTGCTTCCAGCACGCCCTCTTATTATGCTCTGAGACGTCTTGAAACACGACGCGGATAAGGCTCTCACCGTGAATTGCTTCCAGCATGCCCTCACGTGATGCTCCCAGGCCCCACACCCACTACCACGCTGCGGCCCATGTCGCATGCTCCGTACCCGCCTCGCTCACACCCCTCGATGCCCCTCCCTCACGGCGCTCGCAGGTACATCGCGAAGCAGGCGCTGCTTCACCACGGTATACGCGTAGCGATCTTGAACGGCACGTTAATCCGAGAGCTCCATACATCTGTACCGTCGGGATGGAAAGGACTGGCGGATCTCTTCGAGCAGGACATATTGTGCTGGCCGCGGCGCCGTTGCCTCGACGGGCCGTCAACACGCGGCTGGTCCACTTCGATCCCTTGCCGGAGCCCGGCCTCCACGCTGCCCAGGCGGAGGCAGCCTGCCGGTACGTTCCGCGCATCTCTGCGGGGTGGCGGTTGGGGGGCACGTGCAGGGGCCCTCCAAATGCGTCTGCATGCTTTCGCGCACTTAGCCCCCCTCACAGCGAGCAGTCACCGCGGCACAAACCAAACATGCTTTGCCCCGGTTGCAGGTGGTTCGAAGAGTGGACATTGATGGAAGTAGACGAACGGAGGGCCAGGCGGGTCGAAGGAGGGGAGGCAACGGCGCGTGTGGGCGAGCGCCTGGTGCAGCTACGACTCGAGCACGAGCACGCGGTGAGCACAGCGTCGCCGCTCTCCCGCTCTGGCCTACGCTAGGGCAAGTCGATGCCTTCCGCTGACGCCGCGTCTTTCGTGCGTGGCAGAGTCCGAGCACGACGGAGGGGGAGGGGGAGGTGTGCGCGGGCGCCAAGTGCGCGCTCGAGCTGTGGCGCCTCATCCAGGAGCGGGTCCAAGCCGAGGCGAGTGGGAATACTCCAGGCCCGGGGGAGGCCACGAGTGTTGCGGCTCTGACCCTAGACGTCCAAACTCTGCACCGATGGCTCCAGGAGGATGCGGATGCCCGCGCGACATCCGGCAAGGCGGTGCTGAATTGTCCCGAGCGTGGGCCGAGTGTCGGGGTCGCCATCGAGCCTGCGAGCGGACCTAGCGTCACTTTGGCGGCAGACCTGACGGAAACCCTCGTCAGGTGAGTGGTCACGTCCACCCTCGTCTGCCGAGCGGACCTAGTGTCGCTCTGGCGTCAGGTGAGTACGCCCCGTCCACTGCCGAGTGGTCACGTCAGCTCGCCCGTTTCACGCGGTGCCTGACCTCGTGTGCCTAACCATGCTTCATACCTGCACCGGCAGGCTTGTCATGGAGAGGGCGGCTGCGAAGCAGGGGAGCCCGAAGCGTACCAGGCTTATCATGGGAGCGGCCGAAGTGAGTCGGAAACTAGACATCATGGACCGCAGAGCAGAAGACAGAACGTATCCACCCGGCCTCCTCAATGACGATCTCATCATCATGCTTCTCCCCCAGTAAGTCCCCTGCCGCTGCTGTTGTGGACACCACCGCACACACGGACAGATGCACTTCCTTCCACAACGACTCACGCACCATAAACCCGTTGCCAACCTTCTCTCTTCCCACCCAGCTTGCACTGTCCCGAGGTGCCGGCCCACAGCAGCATCGTGGCGGTGATGAACGCCCGAGCACTCTTTGCGGAACCTGGCGACACCGCGAAGGAGGGCAGTGAGACCCTCGTATGGAAGTAAGCAGTGAGCCGTGCGCGTTGATCATTGCGTGCAGCGCAAAGGCACTGAGCTGACCTTCCTCACTCGTGCTGCGTGCTCTTCAGCGTTGTGTCCATGTGGATCGAAGTGGAGTGGCGTGCGCGCAACCACGGCGTCGCGTTGCCCACTATCGCCGCCCTGCGCATGGCAACCGTCACATTCAAGAGCGCGGTGAGTGTCCGGTCCAGCGGCCTCATTCCAACCCACTGCAACTCTCTTCTGCGTGGTAAGTGTGCAACGACTAACCAACTTTCCTTGATAACGCGCGCCAGGAAATCGAGGGGCCGCCCATTGAAGCCGATAATGACGTGTTGTGCGCCCTTGCCGTTCACGGTATCCTGACACGGTTCCAGAGGATCCTTACCCAGCCGAAAGGTGAGGCGTTACGCTTGAAACTAGATATGGCTGGCATGTCTTACCTTCTCGCATGCGTCGAAGAGGAAGCGGGAGTGGATGGGGGTTGCGATGGCGCGGAAGGGGACGGGGGTGCGGTGGAGGAGAAGCAGGGGGGGGAGGAGCAAGAGGAGGAGGGGGAGGAGCCGGAGGAGCGGGAGGGGCCGGAGGAGCCGGAGGAGCAGGAGGTGGTGGACGGGGAGAAGGATGGAGTGATGAATGGGGGCAGACGGCGGAGCGGGACGTTTCTGTGGGGGGGGAGAGCTTCGGAAGGGCAGCCGACCAAAGGGGGGGGGGGGGGGGGGAGGTAGCGCCGAAGGAGGGAGATGATCAAAGGCAGGTTAAGACAGGGAATGAGGGGCAAGGGGAGCAGGAGGCATCGACCTTGACAGCGGAGGGGGGGGGGGGGGGAGGGCTGCTGCTGGGGAGGGAGACGCGGGAGGAGGGGGGGGGAGAGCGGGAGGTGGGGGGCGAGGGGGGGGAGGAGGAGGAGGAGGAGGAGGAGGAGGAGGAGGAGGAGGAGGAGGAGGAGGAGGAGGAGGAGGAGGAGGAGGAGGAGGAGGAGGAGGGGAACGGAGAGAAGGATGGAGTGATGGATGAGGGCGCACGGTGGAGTGGGCCGTTTCTGTGGGGGGAAGAAGCTTCGGAAGGGCAGGCGACTGAAGGGGGGGGTAGGGAGGTAGTGCCGAAGGAGGGCGGTGAGAATAAGCAGGTGGAGACAGAGAAAGAGGAGCCACCGATGTTGACAGCGGAGGGGGGAGGAGAGGAGGGACTGCTGCTGGGGAGGGAGACGCGGAATCCGGAAGAGAGGGGGGGGGATCCGTGGCGGGTGGATGATACACCACAGCCTCGAGACGTGGATGCGCGAACCCTAGGCCCTCCTTGTCCGGGCTCGATCCGGGATGCCCATGCCCTTGCACTGATCCCCAAGGGGGGTGCGGAAGGTGTTTGGGAACTGGGGAGTGAAACGTAGCCTAGAGGTAGAGAGCGGGATCGCCTCCTTCTCATCGAATACCACAAGGCATGCTGGCAGCAGCTGGACCGCCAGCGGGTGGGGGACACTAAATTGTCGCCTGAAGACAAAGAGTGGGTTCATTCTTTGATCAAGAATTCCGCCCCGACACTTCGACAAGGGGATGCGGCGATCCGTCGCTTGAACGAGAGAGAATGCGACGGAGAGAGGCGACGTGCATCACGCCCTGTGCCTCCACAGAAAGGGAGGAGCATCGAGCGCGAGAGCGAGCCGGTGGAGGAGCCGACGAACAGGCCAACGGGGGGGGAGGCGCCGCAATAGACGGAGAAGGCGGAGGCACGGGATAAGCCGCGGGTGAAGGCGAGGCGAGGGGGTGGGGGGGTAGCGCAGCCGATCGAGGGGGCGGGGGAGAAGGTAGCGCCGAAGGTGGGGAAGAAGAAGGAGAAAAAGACGTGGCGTGCGAATGATCGGAAGGGTTGGCGCGTGCCGCAGAGCCGGGGGGTCTGGGTGCAAAGGAAGAGGAAGAGGACCGATGAGGGGGGGGAGGAGGAGGTGAAGGAGGAAGTGAAGGGGGAGGGGGGTGAAGTGAGGGAGGGAGTGGAGGAGAAGGGGGCGAGGAAGAAAGAGTGCAAGGCCGGGAAGGCAGGTGAGGACTCGGAGGACGTGGTGGAGGTGGCGGCCCAGCTGCAGGCGGACTCGCCGGCTGTCATGGAGGGCCCCAAGGCGGCCGTGCTGGGCCACGGCCGGCGGGTTGGGGTGAAGGAGGAAGAGAATGAAGCGAAGGATGATGTGAATGAGGAAGTGAAGGAGAAGGGGGTGGAGGAGGAGGAGTGCAGGGCAGGGAAGGGGGTGGGGAGGCGGGCAGGTGAGGACTCGGATGACGTGGTGGAGGTCCCCCAGGCGGCCCAGCTGCAAACGAACTCGCCGGCTGTTATGGAGGGCTCCGTGGCGGCCGTGCTGGGCCACGGCCGGCGGGGTGGACCCAGAAAGGCCGCCCCGGTCGATGAGGCGCCACTGAAAGGGAGGACTTGGAGGTCGTGTCGTACAGCCGCTGCCAAGGGAAAACCTGCCAGCTGTGTGCGAGGGGGGGGGCGAAAAGCGAAGCCTAGGGGCACAGCGACTCCAAGGGTCGAGGGAGAGGAGGCGAGCGAGCGGCCCAGAGCACGTCGTGCCCGCACGAACGAGGCCGCTCGGGGGGGGGGACGTCGCCCTCTGGAATCCCACGTGGACGGAAACGAAAGCTAGAGGCCTCCGAGGGGAGTACAGCAGTGCAGGAGAAAGTGTGTTCTAATAGCGGTGGGGTACGGGCATGCAAGAAGAAGAACGGCTACTTTATAGCGGAACCGTGGCTGGGCAAGAAGCGGTTCTAGATCGCGCGGGTGAGGAACGTAGCGGAAGCGCAGTACATCACCGCCGTGGCGCACATGGCCTTCTACAAGACAGTTGCGAGGATGGAGATCGAAGCTGGAAAGATGACGGAGTGGCAAGCGGATCTGGATATCGCCAAGCTGATCCCTCCGGGCATGTGGAGCGCCATGGTCGAACGCGGTCTCGCCTCGTCCGCTGAATGGTGAGCTGCGGGTTGACGGGGAGTCTCGGTGGGTATCAGGTAGCCAGTCCACTTGCTATACACGCTTCAAGGCCGAATGCGACAAACCTCCCGCGTGACAATCCCATCCCTGTGCGTGCAGGTGGAAGCACATGTTCGGGTGGTACCGACTGCACCGGCTCCGGCACCCCTCGGCGTCCATCCACGCGGTGCTTGGCGCAATGGTGGGGACACAGGCAGTGATTGTTGCGGAAGGGGGCGGGCCGTCATACGGTGCGGCAATCGCGTGCGGCTTTGCGGCGGTCAGCGCGTTTCTGGATCCTGACAAATTGAATCCAACGAGCCAGACCGACGAGGCCAAACATGCGGCAATGATGGTGGGTGCGGACACTACTACGGCTGATGTGTTGAGTGCCGTGGCCTATACTGCGGTGCAAGCTGTTGTCAAATTTAACAAAGAACGGCAGCGTGAAGATGCCAGCGCCTTGATCGCGAGTGAGGATGCATCGTGCATCGTTCGCCAGCTGAAAGACAAGGCTCTTGCCTCGTGTAGCGGACTCCAAGAAGACCATGGCAAGAACGTCGTCGAGCTGGTCGTGAAGGAAACCCTGGACACCATATGTTACTGGTTTCAATCGGACGAATTCGAAAAACTCCAGCGCGAGCGCCTGCTATATCTGACGAAACCCGTGGGGCGCAGGAGACCGTACGTCAGAGGGGGGTCGCGGGCGAGGAAAGGCACCAAGGTTGTCCCCGCAGCATCTGAGGGAACTGACGTGGTCACAGAAATGTGAGGCGGCCAAATCCCAGGACGGACGTCGGTGACGGCGTCTGCAAGGCAGACTGGGGCGGGGGAGGGTGGGGGGGGGGGGGGAGCGGGGGGGGAGATGCAGATGCAGATGTGCTTCAACCAAGATGCTTTCTGTTGAGTATTGACTGTTGTCGCCATGTGTGTAACACGCACTTTGGCGGGGGTGGAGGCAGAGGTGTATCACTAGCGATGGAGGGTAATGGGATTTGGGACTTACGTCGGAGCAAAGCAGTCTGAGAACCAAAACGTCTGCATTGCGACTCTCGTTCTACTCATTAGTTCATCTCTTATACTTCCCACATCTTACCGCTGCGGCAGAACATGCATTTTCAATAAACATTATCACCTTTTTAAAGCCCAGGTACAGCATGGTTATTTTCAAGTTCAAGATTCTTGATTCTTGTTTGACGGACCTCTCCGACCTCTCCCCCTCGTCACTCGCGCCCGCCCGAGATGGAATGCTTTCCCTCGTCATGCGATTCCCTTTGTAACCCGCGTTTCCCTTCGTCACCCACGTTTCCATTCGTCACCTGCCATGCTAGCCCCTGCAGCAAAGAAGGGCAGGGGAGGTGAAACGTGTGAAACCTGCAGCACCCAGGTTGGCATGGAAAACTTCCTCTTGTAAAACACAAGTGGCAGAAGTTGTTCCTAAGCTTTTTTGGCAGAATGGGCATGCTATGCGTTCATGCAGGCAAATAACCTCGGATTTGCCCACTGACTGACGCATGGAAGAGAATGGTGTTATCTTGGGAGTAGATACAGCTCGGCTCAGCAGGGTAGCCTGCTGCCAAAGAGCTTTGAGTAGGTAGAGGCAGAAATGCACTTCGTTGGAAGCAGAACTGCCTTGTTATAAAGAGTGCCTTGGTTGGTCCAAACCAAAGTGGAACTACCGGTAGCAAACACTTGAACTTCACGCAATCCTGTGTGTTCACTGAACAGCTGTCACAGACGGAATCTCTCTTCGAAAGAACAAAGCCGTACACACAAACTGCATGAAACTTCATCTCATGATGCGATTGCCATCAGACCTGAGACGACCCATCACCATTGGTGGGCACATCAAGCGACGAGTCAACATTGTCGTCCAAAACAGCTCTCCTAGAAACCTCAGACCTAACCACATCGCGAGGGAGATGACCTGTTGATTACAAAATAAATCAGGGAAAGGGGTATCACGCCACGCCCCGAAACGTCAACAGCAGCAGCAGACATGCGGGAATCAATCGTGCACGGAACTGAAAAGACACTCTTCAGGCAGACTATAGCCAAATGGCCACCACAGGACTTGTCGAGTGAGGACAGAGAAATTTTACAGAGAAGCAGGAGGGAGGAGCATGGTTGGACTCAAACAAGCATTGGTTGGAGCATGGGGTGACAACAACGTGATGTACAGTAGCCATGGTGCAGAGATGGGCAGTGGATGAAGTAGCACACAGCAGCAAAGGAGATTGGTTTTGAGACGTCTCAAGATGAACCTATGCATCTCACGAGGTGTGGTGCCAATGTAACGTACAGTAGTCATGGCGCAGAGATGGGTAGTGCATGAAGTAGCAGATCGCAGCAAAAGAGATGCCTGCATAAAAAAAGTGCCAAGGAAGGAGACAGGTGAGGAGATGAAGAACGAGACTGCGTTGAGAAGTGGGGAGGACACACAAGGCAGGAAATACTACAGGAGGTGAAAGGGGAAGTGCCAGTAGTCATCGATTCGTGTGATTCCGACAGCCACTCCACCCACCAGCGGCAGCGCAGGAGGCAGCAGCAGATCAGCTTTGAGATGCCACAAAAAGAAAGAGAAGGAAACGCATGTCCAGCCACGCACCGATGAGGCTGCCCACAAACACGTCAAATGGGAAGTGCCAGTAGTCATCGATGCGTGTGATTCCGACGGCCACTCCTCCCACGAGCGGCAGCGCAGGGGGCAGCAAACGCCAGAGGTGAGTGGCGGAGGAGGAGAGGGAGTGGAGCTTGGCTGCTAGAAAGAAGGAGAGATAGGCCAAGCCTGAAAAGGACACTGCATGTGCAATGAGGGGGGAGGGGGAGAAGAGGGAGATAGGGCAAGAAGAGATGAAGACGGGACGGGATGAGGGTGGAATGAATGAACAGATCTCGAAATGTCTCAAAGTGCAGCTGGAAAGGCCTGACTTCCCTAAACTCTGTGTGTATGTGCGCTTTAGGACAACGAAACAAACCCCATGGGGTTCAGGTGGGAGACAAGGCCTGGTTAAGTGAGAAACTTTCTTTTCTTCAAAGTGCCAACTCGTGGGTCCCCTCCAACGGAAGGACAGCAAGGGCTATGAGGGACATACCCGATGCATGTCCGCTAGGGAAGCTCTTTCTACGTGTAGAATTTTTTAGACGACTCACAAATCCACTTTCTACGCCTCCCAACAGAAAGGCAGCACGGGCTGTGAGGGACATACCCGATGCATGTCCTTGTGAGCGATTTTTGGGAATGCTAAAAAGTCGCTCTTTGAAGTGCAAAATCGTGGGTCCCTCCCACTGGAAGGGCAGCATGGGCTATGAGGGACATACCCGATCAAACAAGCCAAAAAAAAAAAAAGGACATACCCGATGCATGTCCGCTTGGGAAGCTCTTTCTTCCTTCACTCACAACGGATGGGATGCCGTTACACAACGCGTTGCCACTGCTGCTGTACACCTGGAGAGGAAGGGAGAAAAGGGCGAGGAGGGAAGCGAGGGGGGAAAAAGTTCAGGACGAAGAGTTCTGGGGAGAGAAGAGAACCCTCTTGACTCTCAGGGAGGAATCGGCATAGGGGCGGGAACGGAGACGCACAGGGAGACGAGGAGTATTGCGAGAGACCCCTCTTGACTCACAGGGAGGGGGCGGGATAGGGGGCACAGGGAGGCGAGGAGTATTGGGAGAGATCCCTCTTGACTCACAGGGACTCCCAAAGGAAAGCATTTGATGAAGAAGTCTGGGAGGGGTGGGCCACATAGGGGCGGGAACGGAGACGTACAGGAAGGTGAGAGGAATATGGGGACTCACAGGAAACCGCTTGACTCACAGGGACCCCTGAGGGGAAGCATCTGATGAAGAAGTCTGGTCGGAAGCTGCCGGCGTTTGAGGCGGGAGGGGAGAAGCGAAGGAAGAACAAGAACGGGGGAAGGGGATCATGTGACTCACAGGGACCCCTGAGGGGAATCTGATGAAGAAGTCTGGTCGGAAGCTGCCGGCGTTTGAGGCGGAAGGGGAGAAGCGAAGGAAGAACAAGAATGGGGGAAGGGGATCATGTGACTCACAGGGACCCCTGAGGGGAATCTGATGAACAAGTCCGGTCAGGGGCAGCTTTTGAGGAGGGAGGGGATAGGGGATAGGGGATCGTCTGACTCACAGGGACCCCTGAGGGGAAGCATCTGATGAAGAAGTCGGGGCGGGGGCGGCTTTTGAGGCGGGAGGAGAGATGTAAAGCAAGAAGAGGAATCCGGGGAGGGAAACAGCTTGACTCACAGGGACTCCTGAGGGGAAGCATCTGATGAAGAAGTCGGGGCGGGGGCGGCCAACCGAGACCTTGAGAGCATCGGTGATGAGAATGGTGGAGAAGAAGGCGAAGAGCAGGCCTGGGGGGCAAAGATGGGAGGAGAGGAGGGGAGATGCGAGAAACGGATGTGAGAGGGCGAGGGGGAGGAAGGATGGAAGGGACTTGTGAGAATTCTCTCAACAGCGACTTTGAGAGACTCGGCGACGAGAATGGCGGAGAAGAAGGCAAAGAGCAGTCCTGAAGAGTGAAAGAGGGAAAGGAGGGCAGAAAGAGGAAAGGACTTATGAAAATCTCAAGAGTCAAATCTGTCAGTCAATGGTGCTTGTGTTGTGTGGTGGACGTCAAGGAAGTGACTCTGAGTCGCTTTTGAGAATTCTCAAAAGCGACTCAAAAGAGAATTCTCAAAAGCAATGGTGCTTGTGTTGTGTGGTGGACGTCAAGGAAGTGACTCTGAGGTCTGCTCACACGACGACAAGCCCTGTCAGTCAGTGCAACGCACCTAGAAGAGAGTGGTGAAAATCCACGAGGCCCTTCCGGACGGAGTAGTGAACGAGGAAAGCGATAGCAGCAGGAGCAAGGTGAATTATAGTCGGCTCGAAAGTCAATCCACCTAGCATGGAGGAGTGTGGCTCAGGGCAACGCACCTAGCACGGAGTGGTGGATGTCCTCCACAATGTCCTTGCGGATTGGCTTGCAAGTCAACTCAAGAAATGACAAGTCTCAGTCTCAGTGCAACGCACCTAGCACGGAGTGGTGGATGTCCACAATGTCCTTGCGGATGGCGTAGCGAACGAGGAACGCAATGGCAGCAGGACCCAGAGTGAGGAGTGGCGTGGCTAGAAAATCCAGACACAAGACGACAAGCAGTGCAACGCACCTAGCACGGAGTGGTGGATGTCCACAATGTCCTTGCGGATGGCGTAGTGAACGAGAAACGCGATGGCAGCGGGAGCCAGAGCGATCAGCTGGATGGTTACAGGATTATAGGGTTACAGGGTCACAGGGAGGTGAGTGTACATGGCAGGCAGCGAGCTCAAGTGGCTTTAAGTCGAGCGGTGAGTCACCGCCTGGTGGATACAGGGTTACAGGAAGGTGAGAACGTGGTAAAACCGTGAATTTGAGCGGACGAAGAGCCGTTATACACACATTGCTACTGCTGCTTTCAATATTAAAGCATAAGCTAGAACCCAAAAAAAAAAATTGAGCGAAAATCCGGATGCAGAATCTAGACATAACTCGCCAATATAGCTATTCTCACACCGTCGACGAATTTAAAAATCTGAGTGGAACTGATCAAGGTACGCAATCTTACCGGGACAGCCCATGATGGGACGGTGTTATCCAGTAACGGGTACATCAACCCTTCCATGTCCTCGGAATCCACGAATCTTGGAAACGGCTCAATAAAATTGACGGCAATAGCTCCAGCGACTATGAGCAGCAGCACACCCCAGTCGACAGCATATTTATTAAAGAGGGCTTTGAGGGACCCGCGCCGCCTTGTGGCCTGACCGTTAGTCGCCACGTCAGGCATAGTGTTATCAATTGTGAGTAAAAAACGATCTCTTTCGGAAAAAAAAAAAAAAAAAAAAGAAGCAGCTAGTCCGCCGAAGTCCGTCCCACAGAAGCAGGAAGCAGTCAGGCAGGTACTAAAACTGCATACGAAACCAGTCAGGCAGGCAGGAACGCGGGACGGAGATGACGGTTGCGCGCTAACAACATGCGAAACCAGTAACAATCCGAGGCGAGGGAGGACCCTATCAGAATAAATTCCACGCCGTCGTTGCCCAGACTCCTCTCATCATGGCCATCCTTCATGGTGGCATCAGGACTCTGGTGGAACCCGGAAGGTATGAAAAGCAGCCATGAATTACGCAGAAATGGATGATGGAAACTACAGTTGGCCAAACTTGAACAAGCAGCAACAAACAGTGGAACAAGAACAGCTTGCGAAAAACTAAACCAATCTTGCGAAAAATGTAACAACGTTCGTGGAATTCACGAACAAGCACGATCCTCGTCGCCCTACGTCGCCACATTTGCTGATTCGCTGGTTTCTGGTTCTTGTTGATTTGCGATATCCTTGAAGCTTCTCCGATACAAACGCGATATCGTAGAAGCATTCACTTCCGCCAGCTCAGCTTACACTACAAGCTTGCCGGTCCGAACTGTGTGCTACGTAGAGGTCAACCAGCTCAGCATATATAAGTGAAGCACATCTAGCTCCATATTAGAAAATAAGATGACGGTTCTAAAGTTCGCCCTCCATAAAAGTCTGGACAAGTGTAGACGAAAGTACACGTCTGATTGGCTACCATGCTCCAAGATATCTGGAAACTTTTGTGATGACCAATAAACGGGTGTGCTTACACGTCACAGAGGGCCGGATGGCGGGCGGACAAGTCTGGAACCGCGACCTAAGATCAAATGAAGACCAGCACTGTATTCAACACTTCAACATCTTTCTCCAATAGGTTCTATTTCTCCCAGCCTTTCCAACTTTCTTGTATACTTGGAACCTCTACACTCCACTAGATTCATTGGGCTCTAGGTCTGCGGCAAGAGCTCTCTTGCCCCCACAACATGAAACCTGACAAGTTTCTGCATCTGGGCCGAGAGACAGAAGCGGAATGTCACCTGACCATACAAAAAAAGGCAGATGCCGGGGAGCAAGAGGGTGGCAAATGGTTTTGGAACAAGAAAGCTAGTTGCGTGATGGGTGGCTAAGGAACGGAAGTCTGGTGCAAGGAAAAAAGATATGAAGTTCAAATATTTCAAGTAGGTCAATTAGGTCAAATGTGTCAAGATGCACACTTCTGGTTGGAGAGAGCAGGGTAGTGCAGGAAGAAGGTAGATGCCTTTTGAGGCACCTTAAAAGAAGACATGTCAAATATGACAGTGCAAGACGTACAGTTCTGGTTGGACAGTGCAGGGTAGTGCAGGAAGTAGCAGATGGCTGCAACCACCATACCTGCACAGTCAAGGGTCAGTAGACGATGTTTGGAGAGGTGGAATGCAACAAACAAGTGGGCAGGAGGTAAGGACGCAAGAGGGAAAGGCACGGAGGAGGTGAGGAGGTAAGGAGGCAAGGCATGGAGCAGAAGAAAAAGGTCGAGGAGATGCCAACAGCGCAAGCACCTGCCTGGACGGCAACCGCCGTCCTACACTGGCCGTGGGGATGTGGTGGATCCCTACAACCCTCCTCTGAACTCCTGCCCGAATGCAGCCATGCAATCATGCCCTCTTGCTCTCATTACACCCATGCTCTCATGCACACAGCATTATGGCAATGAAGACGTCGATGGGGAAGTGCCAGTAGTCATCAACTCGAGTGATGGCCATGGAAGCAGCGCCCTCCAGGCTGCATGCTGATGGCACCACCCGCCACAGCTGGCCCCTCCCCCTCGACCTGAACAGGCATGTGCCTACGAGTTAATGAGCGCTTACCTATCAACCCTCCCATGAAGTCATCAAACGGGGAAGTGCCAGTAGTCATCCACTCGCGTGACACGAAGAGCACAGCACATAGCACGTGCAAGGGGGGTCGGCCTACCTGTGAATGAGCCCTTCAACACTCCCATGAACACGCCAAAGGGGAAGTGCCAGCAGTCGTCGATTCGAGTGATGCCCACAGAAGCAGCACCCGCCAGGCAGCATGCCGACGGTACTAGCCGCCACAGCTGGCCCTTCCCCCTCGAACCCGAACAGGCACGTGCCAACGAGTGAATTAGCCCTTACCTATCAACCCTCCCACAAAGACATCAAACGGGAAGTGCCAGTAGTCGTCCACTCGAGTGACACAAAGAGCACATAGCACATGTGAGTGAGCCTATGAGCCCCTGCCTATCAGCCCTCCCCTACCTATCAACCCCCCAATGAACACGTCGAATGGGAAGTGCCAGTAGTCGTCGATCCGAGTGATGCCCACGGAAGCCACGCCCGCCAGGCAGCATGCCGACAGTACTAGCCGAGTTTTGAGTCGACTCAAAACGCAGCAGCGCCCTCCAGGCAGCATGCCGACGGCACCAGCCGCCACAGCTGCCCCCTCCAACTCGAACCCGAACAGGCATGTGCCTACGAGTCAATGAGTCCTTACCAATGAGCCCCCCAATGAAGACATCAAATGGGAAGTGCCAGTAGTCGTCGATTCGAGTGATGCCCACAGAAGCAGCGCCCGCCAGGCAGCATGCCGACGGTACTAGCCGCCACAGCTGCCCCCTCCCTCTTGCGCTGAAGGCCTGCAGCTTGGCTGCCAGGAAGAGCGCAGCGTAGGTCAAACCTGCAAAGGACACTGGGCAGGGAAAGGGACGGGAAAGGGATGGGTGGAAGGGAATGGGGAAAGTGGGAAACGAGGCGGGGAAGAGACGGGATGCAAACGATGGTTGTACATTTTCCAGAAGGCGAGAGGTGGAGAATAAGGGTTGCACGAGATGGGTAGGGTAGGGATTGCATGTAAAGAGAGATCGTTGTGGGAAGAGGAGAGGAGAAGGGGAGAGAGAAGGGGAGGGGAGTGGGAGGGGAGAGAGGTGGGGAAGGGAGGGGAGAGAGGAGGGGAAGGTAGGAGAGGGAGGAGTGGAAGGGAGGGGAGAGAGGAGGGGAGGGGAGAGAGGAGGGGAGGGGAGGGGATGGGAGGGGAGGGGGATTGGTCTCACTGGAGGTGTGGCCGCTGGGGAAGCTGACTCTCGACTCCATGACACTGGATGACGACCCGTTGCACTGTACGTTGCCGTCACTGCCGTACACCTGACAGGCAGTACAGTGGAAGGTGGAGGGGAGGGAAGAGAGGAGGGGAGGGGAGGGGAAGGGAGGGGGGGTGGACTCACTGAAGACACTTGCGTGGCTAGCACCTATCACCCCGATATCATACCCATGGCCATGGCTTGGAAAAATCTTATCATGGGAAGAACAAACGCGTGCGCCCAGATTGTGCATTTGCTCAAGAGCCGGGCTCACCGGAAAGCCCGAGGGGAAGCAGACAATAAAGAAGTAAAGTGTGGCCGGGTCGTCTCCTGAGTTGACTGACAAGCCAGAAGCAATCTTGATTTGTGCATTTGCGCAAGCGCCAGACTCACAGGCACGCCCGAGGGGAAGCAGACGATGAAGAAGTGTGGCCGGGGCCGGCCAATGGAGACCTTGAGCGCGTTGGTGAGCAGAAAGGTGGTCGCACAGTTGAAGACGTAACCTGAAGCAGGAGGGAAATGGGGGGGAGGGAATGGGTTGAGGGCATGGGAGTGGGGGAAGGGGGTCAAGGGACTGGGGTCAAGCGCCCAGAGGAGGCTGACGGGGACTTTGAGCGCGTTGGTGAGCAGGAGGTGGTAGAGGAAGGGGGTAGAGGAAGGTGGTAGAAGATGGGAGTAAGGCGAGGGCGGCGCGAATCAAATGCTGTACGTTCACGCGAAATGTGAAATGTGAAATGTGAGAAGGAAGGTGGTAGAAATGTGAAAGGGTGGGGGGGGGGGGGGGGGGGGGGAGAATGAAGATGGGGGTTTAGGCGAGGCCGCGTAAAACAAATGCCGTCGCTTCGGGCGCGTTGGTGAGTAAGAAGGTGAAGACGAGTAGGAAGGTGAAGATGAAACCTGGCCGGGGGGAAGGAGATGGGGGCGAGTGAAATGGGGGCGCGAATCAGATTCATTAACTTTGAGCGTGTTGGTGAGGGGGAAGGTGAAGATGAGACTTGAGGAGGAGGGAAGGGCACAACGGAGGGGGAATGGGGGGGGCGAATCCATTGCTATCACATTGAACGCGTTGGTGTGGTGAGGGTGAAGGTGAAGACGAAATCTGGGGAGGAGGCAGAGGGTGGGGAAAGGGAATGAGGTTCAGGGCGGGAAAGGAATTGGTGCAAGGTGATGGGGGATGGGAATAGGGGAATGGCAATGAGGCCAAGCGATGGGGGAAAGGGGATACGGGCGAGGTAACGGGGGTAAAGAAATGGGCACGGGAATGGGGAAAAGAGAATGGGGGAGAGGGTTTGGGAGAGAGGGGGTGCCCAACTGAAGCCGAAAGCTGGAAAAGCAAAGAGGAAGAGGGGGTGTTGGAGTAGATTTCGTGAGGGGAGCGAGGCCTAGGAGAAGGGATGCGAGTTGAGGGCAAGAGAAGGAGCTGATGACGAATTGTGTGGGTAAGTACGAAAGACTCCTGCCTTTGTGTGCCGTGAGCGGGTTGGGAGGGAGGGAGTGAGCCATGACATGCGTTGCTTGGAGATTACATATCAGTATCGACAGATCTCAACTCCGAGGAGCGAAAAAATGATCACAACTGATGAGGAGAGAAAAAAACACAACTGACCTGGCTGATCACAACTGACCTGGCTGATCACAACTGACCTGGCTGATCACAACTGACCTGGCTGATCACAACTGACCTGGCTGATCACAGCTGACCTGGCTGATCACAGCTGACCGAGGAGCAAGCTGTGAAAGTCGATGAAGTCTCAGCGTAGGATGAATGACACGTCATCACCAGCAGTAGAAACTCAAACGCGTACACCTGAGCATTGAGTCGACTCAAAAACGAGATGGCTTTTGAGTCGACTCA